AATGGGAAGGAATAGAAAGCTTTCCCTTTTACACGTTTTTATTGAAATTTTAACAAGCATATATTTTGTAATAAATAAGCATTTTAAAAGTGAAAAGTACATTTAAACTCTGTGAAAACATTGAAAAATAAAATGTTTCAGTGAGCAGTCTCTGGGATTTCTCCTGCTTAATAATTTATAATTCTATGAAAATACAGCTAAACATAAAGTAGTAAATATTTGTTATAGATACAAAATGTTTCATTCACGATGTGGTAGAAGAGTGAGAAGAGGAAAAAAGGAAGAGAGAGTAAACCAGAAGGTCAGAAGGGAGTTGGCTGGAAGCAGAAGTAGGGCCATTGATCCTGGTTTTAGAGGAACACAGAAGAACTCAAATTCCTCTTCTTTTAGTGAGCTCTACACATATTTAGGAGAAGCTATGTGGTGTGGGCCATAAGCCTTCTTTTTTTCTAGCCCGTACATCCCCAGTTCTTCTTAATAAGATCCTTTGCCATCGAGGTTACCTTGTACTTATTGAGATTTGTCAGTCTCCGTCTTGAAAGGTAACAACCAGAATCAAATACGGACTGCCTTCCGCTTCCAGTCTTACCAGTGTGGGAATACAGTCGGATTAATTCTTCCTTATGCAGGAGACACTTTAAAAGAAAAAATCCAGACTAATATTGTTCCCAAATCTCTGCCTTGTATTTTCTCCTGAGAATTACTAGTCAACAGTCTTGCTATTTTTCTTCATTATTTGTCATATAGGGGTTCTTGTTTGATAGTTTTCCTATTTTAGATGTTTTCCTCCTTCCTCCTCAAATTTAGTTTAAAACCTTATTTTCAAGTCAGCAAATTTCCTGACAGGAAAATTCTTCTTGATCTCACAAGATTTGTATTGTCTTTTGCCAAGAGTCCATTATTCTGGTGCAGAGAATCAAATCATTATCTTTGACCATTTGTGTAGCCAATTATTAGCTTGTAGTGTCTTTTGCCTTCTAAATCTTCAAGTGCTAAAAGAAAAAGAAAAAACAGCAAAAGCAAACAAACAAAAACACCCTACTAGAAATTCCTAAATATTTCACTTTTCCATGATTAGTCTTTAAGGTTACAGAGGATAATTCCTAGGCTTTTTTTTTCTAGATTATTTATCTGTTCACAGCTGATGGTGGTAGCGAATCAGGAGTTTTCCAAATGACCTCAGCTCCAGGAAGGCAAGCAATAGCATACTTTTGAATATCTGCTCTACCTCAACACTTAGGTATCTCTCTTGGAGGAGGTTGTCAGTTTCTTACCTATGTTGTGTTCTCTTCTTGCCATTTACAAAGAATCCCATAGCTGTGAGAAGCTCTTTCCTTCTTTGGCAGATCCCCATTTACTCCAAGAGGTGAGCAAATTTACTTGTTACTTAGTGCTGTGCATGCTGTTTCTTCTTTCTTTTGTACGTTACCAACTTTGATGCTGCTGATTTCACTCCATCCAATCAGATTCTTTTTGTTCTTTCTAGCTTAGCTGTCTTCTATCATTGAACCTCCTGCCTGCTTATGAGCTGTAGTATAGAGTGATTTCTCAGATCGCCTCAACTTTTCCATTAATAATAAGAATATCAACTCATATTTATGAGTCACATAATTGATACCAGCTTCAGAGAAAGAAGTTAACTTAGCCTAGACCTTGCAAAAGACAAGGAACAGTTGAGTCACTAAGGCATTGTGCAAACTGGGAAAAAAAATAAGTAAAAGTGCCCCCTTTGGGCAAATGAAGTACAAAAAGGTCTTCTCCAGGTGGATGAATTAGAAAAATGCCCCTCTTCTAGGGAGAGGAAGCCTGGGGACCTGGCTTGAACGGGGACTGGATTTTAGCCGCATCTTCCCAGGGTGTAGGGTACAGCCACTCACCTGCTTGCAGCAGCTTGGGCTGCCGTATCACCTGTGTTTTTGTTTTTTTTTTAAAGATCCATGGATTTTGTGGCTGCCTCTTTGCACCGCAGTTTCTAAATTTTTGGTCTAGAGTTTCTTAGAAATACACCCTCAATACCAGTTAATGCTGGTTTGGTTCTTTCTTTTTTTTCTTTTTAACAGCTCTATTGAGGTATAATTTACATGCCATACCATTTATCCCATTGTAAGAATACAGTTCAATGATGTTTCATAAACTTACATCTCATACAAATATCACTACATTGTAGTTCTAGGACATTTTGCATCACCCCAAAAAGTTCTGTCATGCCCATGAGCAGTCAGCTCCTGCTTCTGCCCCCAGCCCCAGGGAATCACTTATCTGTTTTCTATCTCTATAGATTTGCCTTTTCTGGAAATCTCATATAAATGGGATATCTTCCTTTCTCTTCTTTCTTCTGCTAATCTAATAGGGATTCCAACCAGTGCCCTTGCAGTAGCCTGATGTTAGTCCTCTCCTCTTCTACTGCTGCTGCAAGCCCTTGCTCATCCCTTCCTTCCTGCTTCAGTGTTCAGACATGCCCTTCTGCCTCCCATCTTAAACCATTCTCTTGTCTGGCATTCCCTCCAGCCACCACCCTAGTTCTCTGGGCCATTGTGAGCCCAACTTCTGAAGATTTGACTTCATGTATTCTTTCTACTGTCTTCTCTCCTTTTTTGCTTTTTTGTTTTTGTCTTTTAAATAAAATAATATGAATATAAACATTAAAAAGAACATGTAATGTGTATATGCGAGCTTTAAAGCATAGTGGTATAATGAATATCTACATCTGCATCTACCCCTTCCACCAGCATTATAAACAGTGGAACCCAGGACTCAAAGTGTCTTATATCTCTTACTCATCTCTACAATCATTTTCGGTCCCTTCTGGTCACTTTAATTCTGCTTTTAAACAAGGAGTCTGAGCTAAATTGACTTTGAAATCCATTACATTGCTAAAATTCTCCAATTACTATTAAGAGATTAATTTTTAGTTTAAAAAGTATTATAGAAGATTTATAGCTTGCATTGTTGATATTACTATAATTTATTTTATTATGAAACCTTGACAAAGAGCATGACATGCAATTATAACATCAGTTCTATAGGAAACTTATTTATATTAATTTGCTTCAGATTTTTTTTTTTTTGTAAATGTTTGAAGCCGAAAGCTAGACTTCCTGTAATGTTGTTTCCCCCCTTTAAACTTTGGATGGAATTCATTTAACCAGTCCACTTGTCCCCAAGGGAGCCATGGATGTCAATTAGTGCTTCAACTTAATACTGTCACTACTTAAATATTTAATTAATGTAATACATGACACTCAGGGAGAAGCTATTTATAATTATCAAAACCAACCTTTGTTTTTTTTTTTTATGCCTGGTGTTTAGAGTTTTCCTGTTATAATGCAGATTGGGAATGGGCTGGTAGGGAAGTGAGAAACACTTCCTTCTCACCCCACCTCCAGGCATAAAGAGTTGTATAGAATATTAATTAGTGATGGATAGTTAAAATATTTGTAATTACATTTGTCCATTTTCTAAACTACATTTTTATCAAACACTCATTACATTTTTGGAAGTTTGAAATATTTTCTTATTCCTTTCTAATTGTGTGCACATCTCATTAAAACAGTTAATACTTAAAAGCAGATGCTAGTTTTTCTTGGACTTATTTTATTTCATTAATACAGTCTAAGAAATATGGTGACTTTTTAATGAGTGACAAGCAGATCAAAAGTGGTTGACCATTTTCCTGTGGAGCTGGGTATTGGTCTGACAGGAAAACCATGGGAAGATCTTCCGTTCTCCCTGACAGGACAGGCCAAGGAGAGAACGGAGCTTCGTTGAGCGCTCTGTGTGTTCATAGGAGACATGCAGGACAGCCAAGTGGATTCCACAGCTCAAGTCATCCCTGGGCTCTGGAAATTCTCGTATGTGTACAGGCCTGTGACTCCAGTGCACATGTAACTAAGGTTTTCCTTCAGTCTGAGAATTTCTGGTCATTAATACCTTTCTTTACCAGTCTCTATTATTATTAAAGAAACATATTCTCATTTTATTCTGAAAATGACCTCTTCTTATGGCTTTAGATTCTGTACATCTAAATTGACTTGATCAAAGCTTTGTGCTTTTTCTCCTACCTAAAATTAAAAAGAAACGAGCAAATTTTCTGTTTAAATGGGTGAGTGAAGATTTACTGACTCCACAAATGGACTCCACATGAGGGGACGGGTTGTCTTAGGAACCTGTGAAATGTCTTATAGTTGTGCATATTTTGAAATACACCCCACTGATAGGTGAGGCTCCAGGTGACCAGATAGTATGACTCATCTCTGTATGCTTAGTACTTTAACTGGTTTGCTCCAGTCCTTGTCTACAATACCAATTACCTTACAAAACCTTTCTTTAACTTCAGTCTCCTTTTCCAATTATCACAAAGTCTGAACTAACAGGATTCAATTCACTGAGGTTTATTTTGATATTTGTCTTACACTTTAATCATCATTGCATTTAGTTAAAAATGAGAAGAAAAATTAGTCTGACTTCTTTATCATATGGCTTTAGAAGGGATTTTATTAGGATCTTAACTGCTGTAGATAAAGGACAAAAAAACAATTCTTCATAAATGACAGAGTGTGGTTAAGATCAGTATTAATAGTCAAAGACAGAGTTTGGTTTTATACATTAGCTCTCTTCTATTAAACGTGATAATCAGCCCGAAGTGTTTAACAATCTATTTAACTAAGTTTTCATAGTTGTGGAAGAGAAAACAATGATGTTTTAAATTTTAAAAAAATTTAGAGTTCCTATGCTTTAAAATCTTCAGAGTTTTTGTACACCTGAAAGGCATTTCTTGTGTCTCTGACGCTTCTTGTTTGCATTATGACAGATGCATCAATTGTTTATTACTTTGTAACATTAGTTATTTTATTTCCATGTTGCATTTTCCCATTAAAACTATAAAATCTTCAAGATGAACACAGAGGATGGTGTCAGTAGTCTCTCTTCACAGCCATCTGCAGCGGTCGTGCAAAGCTGATGTTTTGCGTGAGTAAGAATGTCTGTGTTTCATTTCACAGGTGGGGAGCATTAAGCGGGAAATGACCTTCACATTTCAATCAGAGGACTTAAAACGTGACTCTAGTAGAAAAATGTCTCAACAACATTTGTTCTCCTTGGCCATGGAGGAAGATGTGAAAACAGCAGACACCAAAAAAGCCAACCGGGTCCTTGACCATGAAAAAGAAAACACTCGCTCCATCTGTCTCCTTGAACAAAAACGAAAAGTTGTTTCTTCCAATATCGATGTTCCTCCAGCAAGGTAAGGGAACGTTAGATCTCGTGTTTCTGCCCCCGGAAGTTGGTGGGGAGCATGCATAATCTCTGCCAGTATATAGACTCTCTTCAGTATATAGACTTACGAAAGGTTTTCTGCCAAGAATTTTTTTCTGTTGCTTGTGTGAAATAGAGCAGGTGGCCCTACTTTTCAGAACTGACTTTGAGGCTGCTGTAGTTGGAACTATTGCAGCTCTAGAAAAGAATGTTTTATTAGATTTTGGTAAATGAATAATAAAGAGCAAAAGAATAAATGCAAAAAAAAATGGAATGAAACATGAAATGTAGGACTGAGCATAGCCGTTTAAAAGCAAGTATACTCAGGTCTTTTGGTCAGAGGTTGGCAAACTATGGCTGCAGGCCACATTGGGTCCCTGGCCTGTTTTTGTGTGGCCTGTGAGATAAAGATGGTTTTACATTTTTCAAGGGTTAAAAGAAACGAAGAATAGATAACACAGACCATAGGTGGCCTGCAAAGCCTATAATATGTAAAAAAGTTTCATGATCCCTGGCTTATATCACAGTATCCTTTTAAGACAGATCTACCTAAAAACTTGGCCAAGAGAGTTTATCTGAAATATCAAAAGGCCTTTATCGTATTATAATTTCATTTAACCCATGTCCAATAGCACTGAACCAAAGGACCATATCATGGCAGAATGACAATGGAGTAGTAGTGGAATAAACACGTTAGACCTGTTACTTACTTCTGTGCTTAATGTCTCACCTAGAAAGTAAGCTTTACCTTGGCAGGGATTTTAGTCCATTCCGTGCATGCTGCATACCTAGTCCTTTTCTTAGTTATGTTCTTGGGACTCAATAAATATTTGTCAGATGAAGGAAAGAAAGGAGATGCTTTAACATGAAAGATTGCTTGTTTTTAATATGCGTTGCCAAAAATCATTTATAATGAAACTTTATAAGCAATTGTTTGAGAATTCTTGCATTTGTTCAAGTGGTTTCTGACATCTAACAAGGAAAACAGTATTTTTGGAAAAGGAAAAAATGTGCCTTTTCCACCTGTTCACTTTTTGTAATTAGAGGTTTATTTCTTTCTATATTAAATCAAAAGTATGTTCTCTAGAAAATTAGGTATTGTTCTATCCTGCTATCACATTTGTCGACTCTCTAAAATTATAGGCCTCTTTGTTTTCCTTAACCTTTAATTGAAAATTTTTATATATTTATTTACTTCTATTTACTTGGAATTATTTGCTTTTCTATTTTTTTCGTATTAAGTACAGGTTACATTGTTAGGAGTAATTCCTTCTACTGTGGCTTCGTTGTGAAATGTTTTATAACACTCTGAACCTGGTGGGCACCTCACGTCATATGTGTTATTTGGTTGACTCAGAGGAAAAATGGCATGTTAACAATTTGAAATGTGAAGAGCTATGCTTTTGTTTTCTTCCTAAGCCTGTAGGGCAAAAATTAGACTTCCAGTGTCAGGTTAGTGCCAACTTACAATTCTATAGGACTTATTCTACGTAAAATTCTTGTTAGACCATTGTATATGTTAAAAAAAAAAAAAACCTGGAATTAATCATTTCAAATTGCTTAGATTGTTTTAGGTACATCTTTATTTTTTAATTTCACCCCACTTGCAATATTTCTGGGGAAAATAATGAAAAGGGGAGGAAGAAAATGTTTTCTGCTTTTTCTAACTCTGGTATGTGGAATATTTCCCACCTTTTCAAATTCACTGAATGTACTTAAAAGTATATGAGTCAAGTCAGTGATATTGTGAGGTTCTTAAACAGTGTGGGGAAATTAATTAGGTTTTAAATTCATTAATGTACAGCAAAATTCCCCAGTGACAAGGTATAATTTAGATGTATTAATTTATTATGGGAAATACTACTTCAAGCTTTAGTGACTGGGGTGTCCACTAATACACTTGTTTTCATTGCTATAGTAGGAATTTAATCATCGTAAATACAGTATGCCAATAGTTGGTGAAATAAATAGCTTTTTTAAAAAATATGATGAAGGAATCAGACATTGTGGAGTAGTCTGATCAACTCTCAAACTCTTTCTGTTCTATTTCTGTTTACTATTATCAAGTTACTAATAAATGTCAATTTTCTATTATCTAAACAGATCAATATTTTATTTTAAAGAAACTCCTTTACCTGATATGGTAGGGAGATACAGGATTTTCCTTTTGTTCATTAAGACAAAATATAATTATATCTATTGGCAGTGTATAAATAATGAGGTTTGAATAAATCTACAGTATAGTGAAATTTATTGGTATAAGGAAGTCTCTATACAATCATCCCTCCATATCCATGCGTTCTGCTCTCATGGATTCAAACAAACACAATTGAAAATGTTTGGAAAAAGATTGTCTGTACTGAATATGTAGAGACTTTTCTTGTCTTGTGATTATTCCCTAAACAATATAGTATAACAATTATTTATATAGCATTTGCATTATATTGGGTATTATAAGTAATCTAGAGCTGATTTAAGTATACCAGAGGGTTGGGTGTGGTGGCTCAAGCCTGCAATCCTGGCACTTTGGGAGACTGAGTTGGGAGTGTTGCTGGAGGCCAGTAGTTCGAGACCAACCTGAGCAAGAGCGACGCTCTGTCTCTACCAAAAAAAAAAAATTAAAAAAATAAAGTATCCTGAAGGATGTGTGTAGGTTATATGCAAATACTGTGCCACTTTACATAAGGGACTTGAGCATCTATAGATTTTGGTATCCATGGGGAGTCCTGGAACCAATCCCCCATGGATATCAAAGGAAAACTGTATCTATATCTTATAAAATATATATTATGTATATTAAATTTGTGTATATATATAAAACCTGTATATATATATCCACATGATTATTGCAACTTATTCTCCTATATCCAGACATTATGTTTTGGCTAATTCCTAGGAAGGCAGGATAACTATTTTAGGCCAGTTGAGTGCAGAGTTCTTCGACAATTTAAAATCAGTTCCTTGTAATATTTCTCATTTTATCTTTTGCTTATTCCCATTATAGCTAAGATTTATGTTGAACTTTATTATGGTTTGTAAAATGAAACGTGAAGTTTATTTTCTATGGTTTGTGTAATGAAAACAACGGGTGTATTTTATTAAAATATTTGTTTTTTCATGTCCCTAGAAAGGTCTGGGAACCTCTCTCCACCTTAATCTTCATACCTCACTGTGGTTTAGAGATTAGCATCACTCATTTCATCTCTTGTCTGCATCCGACAGAAATTTATTGAGTACCTGCTATGAATTCAGTACTCAGTAAAAAAAAAAAAAAAGAATGAGATAGGGTACCATCCCTCCAGGAGCTTATAGTGGAATCAGGAAGACAGATACATAAAGAGCTAATTTCAAATAACAGTTCCTAATTTGCTCCCTTCTCATTAGGACTGGATGAATTTGTAATTCGTAAGGTGAATCTTTTAGTATTAGGAAAGTTATTAATTTGACACGTCTATTTAAAAGCCTAATTTTCTCTTACTAGTATCTTTTTCAAGATAAGGATGAATGGAACAGACAAGTGGGAACTCTGAGATCTACAATACAAAATCCCTGCTTATTTGCCTGTTTTCTGAGAACCCATTTAAAAGCTGCTAGTTTTGGGAAAATGTAAATCTAAGTCTTTAATCCAGATGTCTGATTAGGCTGGGTCATCTGAGAAGCAAATGCCAAGATAGGATTAAACATGCAAGTGTTTATTAGGAGAAACACATGTGAGGAACGGGGTGGGAGAAGCCAGGGCAGGAGGGAGATACAGGTCAGACTGGGGTGCTAGACTGAGCCCCTGGAGGGGGAAGGGAGGGAAGTTGGGTGGACGTGTCGTAGATGGCCTTGCAAGGCCGTCAGGAGTTCTGCCTTTGTGTCCCTGCTGCACTCTGTCATTGGCTAGGAGCAGTGTGTGGGAATTGTGGCCCTGGCACAAATGCAACAGTTTCAGAGCCCAGCAGCTGGGCCCTGGTCAGTCAGCTGCCCATTGTTGGGGGTCTGTGAGACACATCGTCATGGCTGCCTTCCTCCCACCCCCCCAGCATTGTTCTTTATAGGTTAGAAGTGCCGTATGCTGTGCAGGCTTGAGGCAGGGGCCAATTTTTCTACCCTTTGGCAGCCCTGGGCTATCACTGTAGACCACCTGGAATCTTCATTTTCTAAGAGGCCTGCAAGCTTCCTGTGAAAAATGGCAACAGATTGTTGGTTCCGGGATCCCAAGATTAATTTTTTTGCATCATGAGAGGAAAGAACACAAACTCTCTCTCCTGAGTTGCCTAGGGTTGCTAGGGACAAATCTTAATGTCAGAGAGTCCACTTACCCAAGGGATATTGCTTGATGGATTTCAAGAAGAAACACCGTTTTCTTTTTGGAGGATAATTTGGGGCGAGTACATTATGAAGTTGAGGTGCTCAAAATATTCCTCAAATTATTCAACATTTTTCAGTAGGGAAAACTAAATGCAAAGAAAGAGCAAGAGCGTGTGAGAGAGCACATGAGAGAATAGTGTTTGTCTTTGGAACTAAAGATCTATCATTAACAGAAAGGAAACATTTTCCAAACTTTTAGGATCATTGGGGAGCAGTAATTTGGGCTGGGGGTAACAAGTATTACTACTCGAAGTGTCAATGCTAACAGTTAGGACAACAGTCACTCAAAGACTGATCTCTCTCTCTCTCTGAATATTTCATCACGTTAATTCAGTAATGCATGTTTATAAAAGATAAAACACAGCCCCCTCCAAAAGAGATTGTGAATTAAGAATGAATAGTTACTGATTAGAAATATGTAGTTTTAAGTACTTTTAAAGTATCTCTAGGGGAAAAAAATACTAGATTCATTGATCCCTATGGAGAGTTGAGGAAAATAGACTTTAAGAGTATAAGGACAAGAATACAAAGAGAGTGTGTTTTCAAGGTTCATCCATGTTGTAGCATGTATCAGTACTTTATTTGCCAAATAGCATTTTCATTCCATAGATAGACCACATTTTATTTCTCCACTCA